GGTGCATTGGTCTTCTGTAAACTGGAAGGTTAGAAGGAGGGTTTAATCTCACTCTATTGACAGAGAGGTGATACAGCTTATGAGTGGATACCAGAACAGGGCTTTCTGTTGCATAGCTGATTAGCACACAGGATGCTAGGAAGTCCAAACAGAATGACTGTTGTGATTATAATGCTAGTCTTAACTACACAATATCAGACCAAACTGTATCTCAAAACTGCAGAATAAATCAATGAATTAAGGCAACTGAGGTCTCAAAATGTTATGATACTACTCCGGTAAACAGTTAAGACTATATTCTGACAGTACTGGACTTATTTCCCAGAGTTGCTGTAGTGAATTTGACAATGTAAAATCTGTAGCACTGTATTTTATTTAGTGGGCATGCGTTAACTAGATTTGAAGGCACGAAGACATGGTCCCAAAACATCATGTAAAATCATCTTTACACTAATTAAATCAGAACAAATATAAGGTAATGGTGAAGAGTTGGATACTCACTATTTTCAGCAAAGCATGAAGCTATACTAAATTCCAAGTGTATGTCTGTCTCTTATGTCAGCTCTACCATACAAGATATATGCTGCTCAATATTCATAGCAAACTGAAGAAAAAGCATGATTCCTGAACCATGTTACTTGGGTGTTTTTGTTTGTTTGTTTTTTGTTTTGTTGTTGTTGTTGTTTTTCTTAAAGATTCGGAATGAAAGCTGAGCTCCATTTCTAGGCCTCAACACCACTTTCATTCTTCATCTGTCTTTTTCATTCAGTTGCATCACTTTGTCCCATCCTACACAAACACATCACCTGCTGTTACCTTCTACCCCCTCCCTGCCCCCCACATCTCTACATATGCTCTTCTTATGTGAGGTGCTGCCTCTCCATTTCTTTATTCTGCAGATTTTATGGAGCTTTCAATGCTGACTTGAATTGTGATGTTTCCTTTCTCGCTGTGAAACTGTGAGCTGTCACTTCGTATATACTGTAAGCTCATTTACCTCAGTGCTAGAATCTTCTCTGGTCTTCAGACTCCCAACATCAAGTTTGTCCTTGTAGTGAAAGCAAGCAGGGAGTCTACACTGTGATTAAATAGATTTTAAAGGGTATCTGAGAGGAATCATATTGCTATTTGCTCAGGAAGGTCTGTGTGCACAGAGTAACATTGTTCTAGCAGCTCAATTGGATTATTTCTATCCTTGATTATTATAATTTTAGTGATTAAATATAATAGTTATTTGTTTATTTGCTTTTACATTTTAGTTCTTGGCGATTTTGTGTTTGTTTATAAATTACTAGAATATATATAAATCTGATTTATTACATATCCTCACTTAGTACTCATTTAGATTTTTTTTTCTTTTGTGAAAATTCACCTATCCATTTTCATGCTACATTCATGGAGCAGTAAACAAAGACATTGTTATCTCTTAGAATGATTCCAAATCCACCACTTTTACATAGTACCCTTGTGAAATAAGTGTACTTTAGCTGTAAATTTTTCTAATATCTAGTTTTAATTTTATATTATAACATATTTTAATTGAAAATTAAGTAAATTTTCAGTGCACAATATTAGAAACTTCAAGTCATTAAATGAATTTTTAACTGACATATAGATATCTTAATGAACAATTTACATAAATTTTTCTAAAATGTGTTTTTGTAATTCAGACATTAAATACATTTCTCCAATGTGTATGCAATGTGTTAATAAATTTAACCTTTGTGGATTTAAAAGGAAAATATCCAAGAAGTTGATAATGTAATCTGTGAACTTTGCAGAAACATTTTTATCTTTGTAACATTTTTAAAAATTCTATTATTGAAAAGTATGTGAATAGACCCAATACTTAATTTATGCAGATTCTAATTTATAGTGATATGTTCTTATATTATGCAAGAAAGTGTGAAATATTATGTCATTCATTCCTCCTCTATGAATAGATTTTTACTAGCAAAACTTGATTTGTTACATGTTATCGTGATTTACTTTATTAAATGATTTATCTGAAAATCTAATTACTGGCGAGTTTCAGTGTGAAAATTTGATATATCATTTAAAATGTTTTTATTTGTGCTTGTAAATATGTGACTTTTATCTTTTATCCTGTGAATGTGCAAAAGTTAACAGTAATTGTTGTTCATATATTGACTCCTCTTTCCTGGTAATATAGCTTCTTCTGGCCAATTCATGTGGTGCTGAATTAAGTTTGCCACTGTTTTCTGGGAATTATAATCACACACACACACACACACACACACACACACACACACATATATATATATATATTCTTAGAGATTAACCTCTAATTTATCAAATCTGGTGTGTCTTTGGCTTTTCTATTACAGTCATTGATGGCATCTTAAATAAGATTTGGATGTATTTCTTCAGGTTTTAGAAAAAGTTTCAACATTGTCAACATTTATTTTCATGCTGTGTGTTCGTGTGTGTATATCTTAGTGTGTGTGTGTGTGTGTGTGTGTGTGTGTGTATGTGTGTGTGTGTACCAAAACAGTCCTAGGTTTCTCTTTGGATATTTAAAATTCTAATTCACTGTTCAAATCCTGATCCATATATCAGGCTGATATTCTGTTAGTTATCATGATTTAGTTTTAGTAAATGCAAAATATGTTTCTTCTGTATACTGTAGCATGTACATATATATTTTTATATGTAATTTATCATTTCTTAACACTAAAACAAAAGTAAATAAGACATAATATTGGACAGAATTGTTTTTATTATCCCTCATTATTAACAATGCTAGACTAGATTTAGACATTTGATTTATGTGCTGTTTCTGTCATGTTTATGATTAACTAGAGCAAACTAAACACAACATCTCCTTTGAAACATTAAGGAAAATGTAATATAGTTTCTATATATGCTTTAACCATGGACAATGCTATATGTATAGACTTTACATAGAGGTAAGGAATATAGGCAATATTTCTGCAAAGTATAATTAGGATTATAGCATATTCTTTTGAATTACATGTTCAACTTTTAAATGATATAGCAATAAAGGAGTTCAGATTTCATGAGATGTTAAGGATGATGATTTAACTTCTAGGTGATTTTGCAAGAGAAATTGTTCAAAGCTTGTCATGTCCAATGTTGCTGGTGTTTAATCTCATCGCATTGTAAGACTGAGAGTCAGCAGATAACTTCTAAGTGATCCAGCAAGGCTGCATGATAGCCATGCAGAGAAACCTATGTGACCAAAACTATGTTATCATGTCATGCATTATGAGAAGCAAAAATGACATTGTAAAAATGTTTCTATGGTTTAAAATCAACTTAAGCACCATACTGTAGACACATTAAAGAATACTATAACATGAAGTTGAACCCGAGGCCTCCAAACTATAATATGCAATGTATGTAGTACATTGATTCTATCCATCCCTATTGAAACTGAAAAATCAAGAATTAAGTGGAAAAGCAGGTTAAGAATAATAGTCATAATTAATTATTAATTTGATAATAGCGTATTCTAAACTAAATAAATTGTACTCTCTTTTCTTGATGACTTTTCAATGACAATTGTCCATAAGACGTCTATCAGAAACAATGCCTATATACACTGCAGCTACTGTTCACCTAGATTAACTCCAAAGGCCATAAAAGCATCATTTTCTGCTCTCTCCACTGCATTGTTTTTCAGGCTCCTAAAACTGATCTTTCTGTTTAGTCAGTCTCAAGTTCCATCCTCTTCCACAGATCCTTACCCTCCACTTTACTCCATTGTAATCTTCTTTATTATGTAAACTTTATTTTGTGATTGAGATATATCCTTGTTGTTTCCTTAAAATTGCCAACATAATCCATATACCCAGCAAAGCTTTCTTGACACTGATTCTGAGAGTTGTGGCACTTAGAGACTTCCATAAACATATCTATATGTCTGCTTTGTTTATTTATAATACATCAGTAGAATTGCAGGATTTTCTACATTTTTGTCAACACACAAATACATTAAATGGATAGATAGATAGATAGATAGATAGATAGATAGATAGATAGATAGATAGATAGGTAGGTAGATAGATCAGTTTTAGGAGCCTGAAAAACAATGCAGTGGAGAGAGCAGAAAATGATGCTTTTATGGCCTTTGGAGTTAATCTAGGTGAACAGTAGCTGCAGTGTATAGAGGCATTGTTTCTGATAGATAGATAGATAGATAGATGTATGATAGATAGGGTAGTGTGCAGCTCAAACAAAACAAATCATATGAATAAGATATAGACAAAAGTGTTCTTACATAGAGTGAAGTTTTCATGAAATACCATAGGGCAAATAAATATTTTTTCAGGTATAGTCAATATAATTTTAAATAATTTAATGTCAGTAGTGATGCAGAATTTATTTTTGAATGCTTGTATTATAACTATTGTGAAATGAGTGTACATTTCAAAATTACTCATTCAAACCAGTACCTGCAGTTTCCTGTGGTTTCCTTAAATTACAAAATACACACAAAGGAATATGGTTGTTATGACAACATGAATTAGAGTATTCAATTGTTAGCATTCTAAACTGTGACAGTGCAGTGTGGTATCTATGCATGTGGCATGTATCATTACAGATCACAAATAATATAATCACAGTCCTCTGACTATTGGCAACCTTGTTGTAACTTATTCTACATTTTCAAACATCTACTAAATCTTGCCAGGTATTAATTCAAACTAATATATAATTGGTATTGTGTGAAAATATAAGTTTATAGAGTCTAAGAAAAGAAAATGATGCTCTTATTATTTCACATAGAATAATGCTTGTTACAAGAACAAGAATTAAATATATAGGTCATTTTTGAGACAAGATATATTTCACCACTGAAACTTATTTTTATATAGGATCATTTATAAAACTATCTTTATTATGAATTTAAATTTCTTTCAAAATATGTATTTTTAAAAATATCCATTTAAATATAATTTTAACATTTTGCCAACCAAAGTATAATACTCAGTGTTTTTCTATTGTGTTTTTAGGTTGTATTCTGTTGGGGGTAGAGATGGAAGTTCATGTTTGAGTTCAATGGAATATTATGATCCTCACACAAATAAGTGGAGCATGTGTGCACCAATGTGTAAGAGGAGAGGGGGTGTTGGAGTGGCCACATGTGATGGTTTCCTTTATGCAGTGGGTGGCCATGATGCTCCTGCTTCAAATCACTGCTCACGGCTGCTGGATTATGTGGAAAGGTAAGCATCAAGGGCATGTACGAAAGAACATTTATGAACCCCAGAGCTACTTTAATTATTTTTCTTTCCTTCCAATATATCTGCCACTCTCCCTTAATCCATTCTTCCTTCCATTTTTTTCTTCTTTTCTCTCCATCCACTTATCTAATGTATGAATACCTTTTTAATTCAACTTTTCCATCTTGCTTCTTTATTTCCAATATTTTGAAACCTCAGCAACATTTTCACATGATACTCAAGTACACTGAATGTTTTCATTGAGACCTTTTTAAAATGATGACTTAGACACAGGTTTGCCATTTACTAGACAGCAAAGTTTGTCATTCATTTTATAAATTGCTGTTTTATTGAGTTATTATATGTGTTGTTTGTTATATTACCTCAAATTCTCAAAGCTGTTTCATGGTATTTATTGTTTTATCATACCATTTTGAAACAATATAGAATTATTATTAATACAATTCCTACAACCCTAAATATGTAGGAAATAAAACTGTTCTTATAATTCTGGGTGAATTTGGAGCAGATACATCACTGATAAAGGGAGACAGTACCTTGGCTCCAGTATTAGTCTATTAATACCGGCATATACTGCTTTGCTTATAGGTATATTAGGTAACTTAGACCTATTGACCTGTATGGAGAAAACACAGGTAAGTCCTTAACAAAGCTTCTGAGTTTTCTAATTACACATTCATGAAACTTAATTGACACAGAAATGAACATAGAGAATATCAAAACATTTGGTTTGTTAGTTGAGATAAGTAATTTAACAATCCCAAAACTCAGTGGTAGAATGATATTTTGTTATTCCTTATTCATATTACAAGTGCTGTCACTCATGTGACTGACATAGCTAAACTAAACCATCTAACCACATAAGAGGAGGGTTATTTTTAATTCCTAAAATGAATGAGCCATGTCTTAATATATCATGTTCTTTTTCTTGATAGTCATTGATAATGACCATATTTCTTCTCTTTCTGCATCCTATTAAACATGTCAGCCAAAAAGAGAAATGAGAAATAGGACAAAGAGATTAATGAAAGTTTCTTAAGCTGAAAAATATTAACTTCTTTTTGTTTTTTCTAATATACTTTCCTTATGGTGGCCAGAATACTTCTGTAAAGTAGATTTGGTCTGAAAGGCTAGGGGTTGGTTAGCTTTGTAACAATCATTATCATTATATTTTCAATTATTTTCTCATCAACTATCTCACTAAATGTGATTCTGATTATTGACAATGTACAAGATTAAAACTTTATCTCAGTGTCTGTACCCTTGGTACAATTCCAAGAACAAAGTAAGTACTTAGCTAGCATTTTTTGAAACCATAAGGCTCTACAGAAATAGTGCCTATTTTTCCTTCAAGGAACTGCATCTTGCATAAATTCTAATAGGGTATAATGTAGATAAATTAATGAATCACAAAAATATACTTGCATCTAGAGAAACATTGGTTATATTCATAAGTAAATAATGAAAAGATACAATGAGAATGGATTACTATTGATAAGATATATCCATAGATAGAGTTATACTATTTAAGTACTGTTTTCAGTATTTTATATGAATTTTTAATTTTCATCACCTCTGCCTTATATATTAATGATGGTCATATAATTAAGACATTCATTCAATATATAGAATTTCTCTGAGAGTTACCAAAAGTTTAAACAATTGTTCAAATATTAAGTAGAAGTCATATATATATATATATATATATATATATATGTCAAATAAAATAAGTGAACAAGTATTAAACTGTTTTTATAGTATAATTGCATAAAACTTTCAATGAAAAAAATGAAAAGAAAGTGTAGCTTAGAAATGTATTTCAGATTTCTTGCATTTTTACCTGTGTCCTTGTTAGCTATTCAAAATTCTATTTTTTTCAGTAACTGATGAATGTGGATATGATTAAACACTAGATGCCCAGGATATAAAAACAATCATGGGCTATCATGATTCCATGAAATATTCCTGAAAACAAGAAAGGAAAGGAAGAAAAGGTGGGCTGTGTAAATCCACAGGGATTATGTGCCTTCTGTGATACATGGAAGGAAAACTTCAATGTTTAAGACCGTTTATTTTGTATTGTGGTACTCCCTCTTTTCTAATCATGTTAAAGGCTCTTCCTTATAGTACAAAAATATTTTAAGTAGGTCTAATTACACTCAAAACTAAATTGCCATACCTAGTCTCCTACTTCCGCCTATCTTGCTTTGCTATTGGCCAACAATGCTTTATTCATTAACCAATTAGAGAGACATATTTACAAAATGTTTGAACCGGATCAAACCACTCTGGATTGGATAGAACTGGTCTGAAACGGATTTTTAAAACATATAAATTGTACTAATCCAGCAGTATTTCTTTTAAGAGATGTTGTTATTTCCTCAGCAGTCAAGCAATTTAAAGATAACAGAACAGCATATAGTACCCTAAGTTCCTCTGTGCTTCCCATCTTTACATGGCTTTTTTATTACTCTATTTCTTCTACTTCTATTTTTTTTTAAATTTTTTAAGACAGGGTTTCTCTGTGTAACTTTTATCTGTCCTGTAATTAACTCTGTATACAAGGTTTATCTTGTTTGATGCTAGTTTGCTGAAGGTGTTTTTCAGCTGTAGGAGTTCCCTGGTAGAGTTTATTAGGTCGCTTATGTAAACTATCATATCTTCTGCAAATAGAGATAGTTTGACATCTTCCTTTCCAATTTGGATCCCCTTGATCTCTAATTGTCTTATAGCTTTAGCTAGAAGTTCCAGTACAATATTGAAGAGATATGGAGAGAGAGAGCAGCCTTGTCTTGTTGCTGATTTTGGAGGAATTGCCTTAAGGTTCTCTCCATTCAGTTTGATATTGGCATGGTTTGTTGTATATTGCTTTTATTATGTTTAGGTGTGTTCCTGTTATCCCTGATCTCTCCAAGACCTTTATCATGAAAGGGTATTGAATATTGTCGAAGGCTTTTTCAGCATCAAGGGAAATGATCATATGGTTTCCTTTTTCAGTTTGTTTATATGGTGGATCACATTGATAGATTTTAATATGTTAAACCATCCCTGCAATCCAGGGATGAAGCCTACTTGGTCATGTGGGATGATTTCTCTGATATATTCTTGAATCTGGCTTGCCAGTATTTTATTGAATATTTTTGCATCTGTTGGTTATGTTTGTGTCTGTAGTTCCTGATCATTTGCCTAGTTTTTCTATTTCCAGCATTTCTTCAGTTTGTGTTGCCTTTATATTCTCTATTTCAGTTTTCAAGTCTTGAACCTTTTCCTTCACCTGGTTAATTGTTTTCTCTTGGCTTTCTGTACTTTATTTACTTTCCTTAAGAAATATGTTCATTTCTTCCAATTTTTTGTTTGTTTTTGATGCCATTTCTTTAAGGGATTTTCTCACATCTTCTTTGAGTGCCTCTATCATTTTTATGATGATAATTTTTAAATCGTTCCCTTCTGCTTCATCTGCTTTGTTGTGTTCTGGTCTAGTTGGTGTAAATTCCTTAGATTCTGGTGGTGTCATGCTTGTCTTTCTGTTGTTAGGTGTTTTCTTTTATTGATGTCTTCCCATAGCTTCTTCCAGTAGGTGTTGGTGGGGTCTCTCCCTCTCTCTATGGTACTTCCCCAGTGGGCTTAGGTGGGTTAATGTCTATAGCTCTGGGTTGTCTAAGCTCTCTAGGAGGTCTCTCCACAGGCAGGGGCCCATTGATGGGGGTCAGCCATCAGGCTCTAGCAGAAGACTGGCGATGGGGGTCAAAGATGCTAAAGGCTGAGACTCAGGATGTTCCTTGTGCCTATAGGCAGATCTAGCCTGGGCCTGGCACTCTCCAGCTGAGGCCACTTTAACAGAGGCCCAGCAATGGGGGTCAAGGATCCTGCTGGCAGGAACTCAGAGTGGTCCTGCAGAGATAGGTGGATCTCTGGGAGGGACCTGGAACTCCAGTAGAAGACTGGCAGTGGGGGTCACAGACCAGGCAAGTGGAAATTATGGGTGGTCCCGTGTGGATAGGCAGGTCTTCTGTGTTCAGAGCTGCTTCTAGAAGTACCCCACAGGTGTCTGGATTGTTGGGTCCGCCCTCTGTCCCTGTGCTCAACCTGAGTGGTGGGACAGTGGGCAGGGTAGGGCACAGGGGAGGGGGAGGGCAGGCTCTTGGTGGGGGTGGGCTGGCTTGTATCAGAGCTCCAAGAGCACTCTCGATGTGAACAGGACCCAGGGGCAGGGGGATCCAGAGCCAACACAGGGAATTCCCAGGGAAGGGTATAGGGGAGAATCCACCTGAATTGGTTCCAGACTCACCTCTAGCCAAGGCCTGGCAATGGGGCATGGGGGACCTCCTTCTTAGTATCTTGATGCTGGAGGCAGTTGAGTGATCATAAAATGGAAAAAAAAAATACGGATTTTTTATGATATTTTCAATTATTCCTTAATATGTTTTGTTTTTAAATGCAAAACTGTGTTTATATTTTTATAGTCCTGTGTATAAATATGCATCTTCTCTGAAATCTTAAATATTTATGACCACTATTTTTAAAGAATGTACAGTAATGTTCTATTAAGCAAAGCATGTTGATGGATAATTGCAATCACAGTATTTGGGAGTTTGAGACAGGAGAATTACTATGAGATACAGTCTAGCAGTGAGTATAGAATGAGAACCTTTCTGAAAAATAAGGAAAAAATAAAAAAAAAAACTTGATTCATTTGCACTGATATTATTCATATTTTACACACATTATTAGGTACTTTCACCAGCAGCATAGAGAGAAAACCATATTTCTTGCATTGCTTGCTAGATACAGTGAAGCAGAAGTCTAGTATCTTCCTTTTACAGAATGTGGTTCAACCAGAACTCACATCTCCTGGGCATACTCTGGGTTTATTTTCCTGAAAATGGTTCAAATAATTTTAAATTCTGCCACAGAAATCCTTTGAAGTGTGAAGGAACTGTTAGGCTTCCTGGTTTCTCTCTGTTCAGCCCTATTTCTGAATC